TAAAAAACTAAGTAACAAAAAATAATACTATATGGAAGTGGCAGAATCTGAGAACATGTCTTTATCAGTTACATGTTATAATGCGTTCACTTTATGCAATTTTGCTCTGTGCACCATTGGCCAGGAACATATGTATTGCATGAAGCAAGGGATGGGTGTGTGTGTGTGGGAGATGGTCAGTATGTTAAAAATTATAATTTTTATATATTTATATTTTTCTTCTTTCTTTATACTTTTATATTTATTTATTAGACATGCTTTTGACTATTGCAAACAAATCCCACATTATTGTTAAAAACAAGAGTGCAGGGTATTTTAATTATTATAAAGCAACAAACTTATTTGTGAGTGGGTGTTCAGTTGAAGAATGCTTATGGTCTATTCATATCTTTAACTCTGGGCAGCAGATGGCAGTGTTCATCAAACTGAAAATTCACTTTTTGGTTTGTGAGACATTGTCACACAGCAGGATATGTGCAAAATATTTTTGGCAGCCAGAATGAAATCTTGGTTTCCATTGTCAAAGATACACATTCATTGGTTTGAAAATGAGATTTTGGTAATTTTTTTCTAAGGATTAAAAATGCTGTTTTTTATGTGAGACAGCCAAACATATGAAATTTAGAAATGCACTCAATACAGAAATAACAGGATTTCAGGAAACAGTGAGTCAGTCTAAATGGAGACGAAAGTGCCAGAGTCTGGGGCAAGCAGGTGAGACGCTCACTCAAATGATTGGATGGTGCATAAGGAAGTTTGTGATTGGCTGTTGCTGTATACTAATTTTCTGTCAGCTCTGACTGTTTAAAATATTATTCAGTATTTTTTCCTTTAATTGCATTTTTGTTGTGCAATATTTAGGCAACTAGTAAAACAATAGAGAGGTCCCTTGCACATACCTAGAAACATGGTATTCTTTGATTGTGAAAATGCTAATAAACTTACGGTGACCTAGTGAACATACGAAGATTTGCTGATTATTGTGCTTGTGTGTGTATGCTTAAACACTACTTGTATATAAATACCTATTCTATTAATAATTTGTCATTTTTTTTTTTAAATTTCCAGTAGATGTAAGCATACAACCTCCTCTTGGAAGCCATTTATGTGTGAGTTTTTCTTTTATATTAAACCATATCAAGCTGCTTTCAGGGTTTGACATTTCTCATGTAAACACAGCTTTTAAACAAATCAGTTAACAGTTTAAAATAGTCAGTGGCATAACCAGGATTTCTGTCTGGAGGCTTAAGCCAGAATTTCAATTTGGGAGGGGGTTAAAAAATGTTGAAAAAAATCTTAAATTGTTTTTAAACACATGTTTTTCATTATGTATATGATATTTCATAAACTGTCATGCTTTCATGGTCACTGGACAGTATAACAGAGCAAAAATTATTATAACAAAAAATCTGGTAGGTACTGTGGTAATGATTAAAGTACAGTATCATGATTATTGTAACATCACAATTAAAATACTGTATTGTATAAAAGATACAAATATAAATACAGTATTGTACATTATTCATTCAGGATTAAGTTAATATAAAGTTTGATGATCATGGACTTTTATACTTTCTCTGGCTAATAGGACTGTTTAACCATATTGCTGGCTTGGGTAATTTTTTCTTTACTCTTATGATAATTATTAGTACAGTACTGTATTTAACAATTTTGTTGTTATTGTTTTCAGTGAATTATGACATGACTAGCCTTGCTCATGAGAATATTAACAGAATCAATGGAATAAATAATTTATGTATGACATTAAGACTTATTGTGTTTTACTAATAAAATTAATCAAGTACTGTACAGTAATTACCAACAGTGCCCATTTTTGCTATGTATTTGGCTAAGTATTTGCATTTTCCAATATAAGTATAACCTGGCAATGCAAGAGTACCTGAAAAGTCAGAATAAACACTGGGATATTCCTAAATTTCACTACTTAAAATTAATACACTACATTATCACATAATATAATACTGGTTCTCATTAAAAATATTAAGTTTTCTATCATAATATACACCTCCTTGACTCTTGCTTTTACTAATGTGCTTCCAGCAACTATTTTATGACCTTTATCTCCTGCAGTACATGTGTATTTCTTATTGCCATTCTTTTACATTTAATTACTTCCTTGCAAGGCTTTTTTTTTTTAGTATTTAAAACCCCCATTATACTATTATTAATAAGTTAACACACTGCCAGAGTTGAGGGTACATATTTATTCTGTACCAGTTAAACAAGGCAAAAACATGTAGTGTACTGTATTCATTTTATAGTTTGTGTATTGCAAATTTCATTGTTAGAATGTTCATTAATACCAGTTTATTAGCATTCAAAATGCAGTATCAGTAGGCCTACATATATTTTACTCTGAATGCAGGTTCTTAGCAAAATATTAGTAGGCCTACATATGCTTCACTATGCAACAAGTTCAGCCACTTTGTAACTTAAAGCCACAAGACTCTGTTAATCATTAATTAATACATAAAAAGCTCACATACAAAATACAGTTTTCTGACTTTAATAAAAGCATTAATATGAGTTATAAAAGTTTTTGGTATCAAAATAAAAGCAAGCAATATTTATTTATATAGAAAAAACTGGAGCTTAAATTTGGTGTGCAGATCATGGAAAAGTATTCCATGCAGAATATGAGGCATTATCAGATCTTTTGGGTGTATGGAAGTTAAAAATATGCCCTCTCTGCCTACCCCATACAATGCTGCTGCTGCAGTTTAGTGTTCCCTCTGTTGTCACTCATTGTTTTGAATAGGTGTTGTGGATATGGATGACACCAGCATGAAGTTGGCTAGGTCAGATTGCTGCCCTACCAGCTATGGTGAAATATTGTGGCACTTCATGTTGTAGAATTGGCTATAAAAGAAAAAATGTACCTAATAGGCTAGTAGTCAGGTGCCAGTGGTTAGCCAGGGTGTGCCAGAGCCCAGCTTGGCTGAGGAGCCCACTGTCTGCTGGCCCAGACAAGCTACTAAAGTGCCACTCTCTCTTGTTGCAGGGTCACCCACCTCCTCTTGTCCTTAGCGAGCAGCTGCTGGGCCATGGGCTGAAATGTCCTATCTGCCAGAAGGAATTCAAAGTACTGGGCTCTCTCAGGCGGCACTACCGCAGCCACATAAACTTTAAACCTTACATATGTGATCTTTGCGGAAAAAGATTCACTTTGAATCAGTACTTAATAGAGCACAGACGGACACACACCGGTGAGCGACCATATAAATGTCATGTGTGTGGCAAGAGCTTTGCTCAAACAGGCACACTCTACCACCATGTGCGCAATGTTCACCAAGTGAGCTGGACTGAAAAACAACAGGACAAGAGCTAGGGGGTGCAGTGTTTGAAGTGGTAGACTGTGTATTTTATAAGCATGGAACATATGACTTATACTCCTTACAAGCAAATCAAATCAGGGACATTGTTATTCTAAACACACCGTATGCCTTAAATGCATAATGACTTAAATTTTAATGTTGTGATGTCAAAACTCTTTGTGTCACTTATAGTTTCAACTGTTTACACTGCTTGTAAGGTTGATGTGTGAAGGAGTTTTTTGAGGAACTTCTTGTATACAGTGTAAATTTTATAAGTGCTGTATTATTTTACATATTCTATAATATTGCTTTAATAAACTTTAGTCTCAAATTTTATTCTCAAAATATGTATATGTTGGATTTGTGGCTTAATCTACTTAATCACCAAAGTCATTATTTTAGAGTACAGTACAGGTTTATTTGAATAAATCGTACTAAATACTTAATTTGCAGTGCATCACAACTTGGTCACAAACACTTACAAGTTTGTATGTATAATCATAATTTATTTGATAATGACGTAACTGTAAGAAGTGCACAATAAATGAATGAAAACCTGAGTGTTTTTTTAGTAGAGAATCCTTGTAAAAAGAAAAAAAAGACATTTTTACTCATGCTTTTTAGAAAACTGTTAAATACATTGCTTATTTTGTACAGTCAGATTAATTGACCAAAAGACAATACTTAATATGGATTTTCTTAGGAAAGACATGGGAAAACTTAGAGCTGAAATAAATAATTTATTTTTTGATTATATGCAGTGGATTTCATTCAGTTTTATTACTGGTTAGTTGCATATATTCCTTTCTTTTACTGATGTCAGCCATTATTAAAGACATACGAATTCCAAATTGCCAAGCCTTGACTCTAGACTTGAAAGACTGACAATACTGTGCTCAGTTATAACCACATGTATTTACTTATACACACACAGTGCACAAACTATATAGGCACTGCATACTATACAGAACAAAGGATACAAACATGCAAGCATACATATGTGTATATGTATATTAAAATAACTCGCAAAGAAAATAGTTAATTATAGTTTTGGAATTTGCTTGTAATATTATGGACCTTATCAAAGTCTATTTTCACAGTGTAAAAAACAGTTCTGTATTTTCTTTGTGAGATAATGTAAATAAATACATAGTACTGTATACAATATCTCTAAAAAAGGCCCTTGGAAAAAGTTGAATACTATATAGTCTGTATACATGTGTACATGCCATTATAGGTATATATTTGTATGTATACAGTTAAATGTTACCTTTGGCAGGGATATTTTCTTCTAACATTATTAATTTTTAATTTCTTGATATTTGTTTACGTTTCCCCATGTGATGAACATTATCTTGCTTTTATATATAGTGCTAGTATATTTATAGATTATTAAATGGCTGCTTTATAAAAATATACATATGTTGAGCCATGTCTTATATCCAAGCCATATATTTTCCAATTTGACTCCATTTTAAGTGAAAAATTTGTAGATCATTGTAAAATCTAACATAATCTTAGTGGTTATGGTATTAAGTCTTGGCTTAAAGGCATGGGACAAGTGGTGAAGGTCATACGAAATTATATTCCTTGCTGTTGGGATGCATGAGGAATTTTTTATCATACTGTGGGAAAGTGTCTGATCCAAATCTCCCCTTGTTTCAGAAGGACTTGTCATCAAAGTCATCCAAGTTGAAAAGGGAGGACTCATCTATGCTGAGCCCTCAAAGTCATGGCAGCATGCCCCCTCACCATCCAACTCCTCCAATCTCTGGCTCCATGCTGCTACCACCAGGACCACTTTGGCCACAAGATAGCAATGTTAATATTGAGGAGATTCTACCCTGCCCCATCTGTGGTAAGAAATTCCCTAAGAAAAGAAAGTCAAATTTACAAGTGCATCTAAGAACTCATACTGGAGAGAGACCATTTAAGTGTCAACAGTGTGGCCGAGGTTTCAAACAGAAAGCACACCTTGAGAAACATCTTGAAAAGTCCTGCCATGTAATGTCAGAGTACGTGCCTTATCCATTTTTTCCCAAGATCTGAGTGCTGGGCAGTGTCTGCACATTCAATACCATGACCCAAAAGGCTCATGCTCACTTTGGCTTAGTGACTCTACCTCAGTCCTGCGTCAACAAATTTTAGGCCTGTGCCAGAAAGGCAGTGAATCCACCCAGTCGTGCCTCACCAGACCTTGGCCCTATGCCAGAGGGCAATGACTGCATCCCGGCTGAGCATATGCATTACTCCTTAACTATTAACAATGTGATGTTGTCTGTGACAGTGACAAAGTTGCCTGCATTAAAACAGTTGAAAAATTGTCATAGACTGAAAAAAAAATATGGCTTTAAACTGCTCATTTGTAGAGCATCCTGTGAATCTCATGTTTGAGATATGAATGCATAATTATAAGTAATAAATATGACTATTTGAACTTTTTATTGCTACATTATCAACACGGGTACAACCGTCCGATATTAGTTTTGTATTCACATATATGTACAATTATAAATGAACTTGGCCGTTTTTGAGTTCTACAGTACTGTACTGTAGCTGAGTGCAGCTTTCACACATGTACAGTATCTGATGTATATACAGCATCATCCTTGTATAGAGAGCATTAAAACATAAACTCTTGATCTTGTCTCCTAGTTTCAAATTAGTGCCCTGCAATGGTTCATCACATCCCTCCACATTTTATATTCCAGATTACTATATTTACTGTACCATATGTAAATAATTATACACAGGTATATATGTATGTAGTATGTATTATATATATATATATATATATATATATATATATATATATATATATATATATATATATATATATATATATATATATATATATATATAAATTATAAAGTGCATGCATACATACATACATACATAATACATACATACATACACACACATATATATGTATATCAAATTTTATATGCAGTATATTATTAAGAATTAAAAATGTAACTATAAAAAAAATATTTTTAGTTAAAAATATATTAGATATATGTATAGCTTCAGCCTGTCTGAAGAACAGTTTAAATATTTAATGATTTATTAAATGTTATAACTGGGCATTCACTGATTACTCAAAGCCATTGGGCTTCATTCTTATGCTTCCATTAAGATAATCTTTTTTAAATGCTCTCTTTTATCTTATCAGGTAGTTATGAAGAATTGATTCCGGTTATTAATATCACTTCTGCTCATAACTCAATCTTGTGTTACTGTCCATCTCAGTTATGTAATTAATTTAGATTATTGTTCTGAAACTATGAAATTATTATTAAAAAGCAAGTAGAGTTCAATCCATGTGGATAATTGAGCACTGCTTCAAATAATGAAAGAAACTGTACTTTTATTCTGAGATTATTAATCCATGTATCTTTCTGATTACCTTAAACTTTTTCATTTCATAACAATCTTCAATCCTTAGTTATCTTAAAGTCATATCCCACATTGTTCAATAAATTTATTCACTGTTTATTAAATTTATCAACACAAAAATTCCTTGAATGATTGGACCCATGAGAGAGACTGCAGATAGTGAGGGATGACATAACACCTTAACTATGGTAAAAATTGATTTAAAACATTTTAACAGTATTTATGTAAAAAAAAGCATTCTTCAATATATTTTTTATTATTTTTACATTGTATTACTAGCATTAAACCCTCGATTTAAGAAACTTAAGAATTTTAAAATAATATCTACTGGACGAGTTGGTTTGGGAACAACAGACAAAGTCCGTTGTTTACAAAATTGTTCCATTATTGTCATGATCATGGTAAAACTATCTTATCTAACCACTACAATCGCCACTACCAGCTACCTGCTTTCCCCATTAATCCGTTAAATCAAGGGTTCACATATATGTACTCACGTAGGTGGTGCTAAACCCATTGGGGTTATACAGTGCTTGGGGAATGAGAGATAAGAAGGTTTGGTTTAAAAAAAAAAAAGAAAGGGTAAAGCAGCTCTGGCTTTTTGGACCGAGTCGTTCAGCAGCATCAAGGCCCTTCACCCCCCCCTCCTCTCCTGATAGTGTTCTAACTTACTGTTTACCAAAGTTCAAATGATGAGTACACCCTTGCCATTGGCAACACCTCATATCCAACCTGCCATAATGCATCATTGCTTCCTTCATAAATGTTTCCTAACTTTTAACTTGATACATGTTTTATAAAAATTTTCCCATTTTATTAGGGATTATTTACCGGGATGAAACCTTTCATTCAGCAGTCAAAATACAATTTTCCTTTGCACCTTCAGCACTTCTTTCAAAATAAAAATTTTCTCAACTAGTCTTTTTATTTAATGTTATGATGTAACTTTTAGCTCTAATCAGATTTCATAAAATATATTTTACCATGTTAGTATCACTAAATTATTTCTTCAATTTGTGGAAAAAAAAATCTGTTTCCCAACAGCAAGCTCCCAGAGTTTTCCATTTATTTTTTTTTTAGGGTCTTGTTTATATTTCCCATCCAATAAAATAAATTATATACTGTACTAATATTAATTGTAGAACAGGTTTAATTTGATAAAATTATTGAATAGGACAGTGACATAATTTAATTATATATTTTTATATACTTGCAGGAGAACAGTTTGGTTATAACCAGTCTGGTGTTTTTGTATAAACAGACCAGTGTGTAATGTGCATATTACAGTACATGCATATCTGTTACATAGATCTGAAAGACCAACTTCAACCCATCATATTATAATCATCCCATTATTGTTTAATTAGATATTTACATTAATACTTAGAATACACGACAACCAACTAACCAATCTATGTTAAAGAATAAAAAAAATTAAAGGATTGTTCATATTGTACTTACCTCATGGTTCACTTAGGTATGAAACTTAATCTTTATTGAACAATATAAGTATCATTATAGGATGATCTGCATTTAAAACTTTGCTTAACTTTGTGTAAATTTATATCATAATTCTGTATGGATTTTAGTTCTTACGGCTAAACCATACTTACCAAAGTACATGTGATATTGATTTAAAGTTGATCATGTACAGAATTAGCAGTAGAATTATTGTTAGAGTCTTCATTTACTACATCAAATTCTTTCCTTATATATGAATGTATGGTATTGTATATCTGTATAATCAACTCTGTAAAAACTAAATTTTTAAAAGATCAATGCAAACATGGCTCGAGAAGTGAGCATGTATGTTTTTTACAGAGTTTGTTTTCACGTACACACACCCACATGCATGCACACACACATGCACACACAAACATTCACACACACGCACTCACACATGCATACATACACACACACACACACACACATACGTGCGCACGCACACACACACATGCACACACACGCACACATGCACACGCACACACGTGCACACGTGCACACACACACACACACACACACACACACACACACACACACACACACACACACACACACACACACACACACACACACACACACACACACACAAACCTCTTTCACCAAGGCAGGGTGACCCAGAGAAGAAAACACAACCACTCAGTCACCATTGTATTACACACTAATCATATGGGAAATATTGTACATTTGAGTTATTCCCCCCCATTCAACAGTTCAGAAGTAACATATACATTTTCAGTCTACTAGAGAGCATTCTCATGTACTGGTAAACTGACTGAGAGGATACACTTATATATGCAAACATGTGAGGTGCACATGAATGATGGAGTACTGAAGCCAGCTTACTGACCCACCAAACAGAGCCTACTGACCCAACAAGCAAAGCCTACTGAACCAACAAGCAAAGCCTACTGACCCACTGAGCAGAGCCTACTGACCCACCAAGCAGATCATACTGACCCACCAAGCAGAGCCTACTGACCCACACCAAGCAGATCATACTGACCCACACCAAGCAGATCATACTGACCCACCAAGCAGATCATAGTGACCCATACCAAGCAGATTATACTGACCCACCAAGCAGAGCCTACTGACCCACACCAAGCAGATCATAGTGACCCACCAAGCAGATCATACTGACCCACCAAGCAGATCATAATGACCCACCAAGTAGATCATACTGACCCACCAAGCAGAGCCTACTGACCCACATCAAGCAGAGCATACTGACCCACACCAAGCAGAGCATACTGACTCACACCAAGCAGAGCATGCTAACTCACACCAAGCAGATCATACTGACCCACCACGCAGAGCATACTGATCCACACAAAGCAGAGCATACTGACCCACAACAAGCAGATCATACCCATCAAGCAGAGCCTACTGACCCACCAAGCAGATCATACTGACCCACCAAGCAGAGCATACTGACCTACACCAAGCAGAGCATACTGATACACACCAAGTAGAGCATATTGACCCACACCAAGCAGAGCATACTGACCCACCAAGCAGAGCGTACTGGCCCACACCAAGCAGAGCATACTGACCCACACCAAGCAGAACCTATTGACCTACATCAAGCAGAGCATACTGACCCACACCAAGCAGAGCATACTGACCTACACCAAGCAGAGCATACTGACCCACACCAAGCAGAGCATACTGACCCACACCAAGCAGAGCATACTGACCTACACCAAGCAGAGCATACTGACCTACACCAAGCAGAGCATACTGACCTACACCAAGCAGAGCATACTGACCTACACCAAGCAAAGCATATTGACCCACACCAAGCAGAGCATACTGACTTACACCAAGCAAAGCATACTGATCCACACCAAGCAGAGCATACTGACCCACACCAAGCAGAGCATATTGACCCACACCAAGCAGAGCATATTGACCCACATTAAGCAGAGCATACTGACCCACACCAAGCAGAGCATATTGACCCACACCAAGCAGAGCATAATGACCCACATTAAGCAGAGCATACTGACCCACACCAAGCAGAGCATACTGACCCACACCAAGCAGAGCATACTGACCCACACCAAGCAAATCATACTGACCCACCAAGCAGAGCATACTGACCCACACCAAGCAAATCATACTGACCCACACCAAGCAGAGCATACCGACCCACACCAAGCAAAGCATACTGACCCACACCAAGCAGAGCATACTGACCCACACCAAGCAAAGCATACTGACCCACGCCAAGCAAATCATATTGACTCACCAAGCAGATGATACTGACCCACACCAAGCAGATGATACTGACCCACACCAAGCAGATGATACTGACCCACCAAGCAGAGCAATCTGACTTACACCAAGCAGAGCATACTGACCCACCAAGTAGAGCATACTGACCCCCACCAAGCATAGCATAGTGACCCACACCAAGCAGATCATACTGACCCACCAAGCAGATCATACTAACCCATACCAAGCAGATCATACTGACCCACCAAGCAAAGCATAATGACCCACACCAAGCAGAGCATACTGACCCACACCAAGTAGATCTTACTGACTCGCACCAAGTAAAGCATACTGACCTACACCAAGCAGGTTTCTTGAGAACACAACCAATGTTTAGTATTTTTCCAACCAATATTAAGGTTACCCAAACTGTTAATTTTGCTAACTATAGTAAATGAGTACTTTTCCCCCATTTCCTTTAGTACTACAATTAAAATCAGCTGCACAAGGGATGGATGGTCAAACATAATATTTATGGAGGCCTCTGACTTAACATTTTCGTTGGCCATTTATCTTCCTTAACAGCTTGTCAAATTTGAGAAGAATAGTATTCAATAAAGATTCAACATTCTCATTCA